AACCTTTGTTCGCAGGAAGAGCTTACCTGTCAGCAGAGGATAGTAGGCCTGGAGCAGGTATCTTGCCTTGGATGTTGTGGCTGTCATTTGGTCGTTCCGTACTAAACGCTTGTCGTAGATGAGTCCAAGATAGATAACCTTGGACCCCCAGGAAAGCCGCGGTCCTGCAAGCTCTAGTATGTCTGGCGGAGTCTTGAAGCCTCTGGTGAAGAGAATGGTCTGTGTCTTCGCCGGATTGAACTCCATTTTCCATTTCCTGCTCCATTGTTGGACCTGGCCGAGATGTCTTTGAAGTCTAGCTTTCAAGCAAGTGCCCTTCCCTGCGGCAGTGATTGCCACATCACCTGCGTAGATGTAGCACTCTGTATTGGTGGTGGTTGGGAAATCTGCCATATAGATGTTGAAGAGGGCAGGGGCCAGCACTGATCCTTGGTTGAGAGCAGGTTCTCGATTTTAACCTGGAAGCTGCCTCCAGATAGGTAACTGCTGATGAGCTTAGTTTGGTATATACAGTACCACTATTACCTTCTTCCAGGTGGTCGGGAAGAACTGAAGATCCAAGATTGCATTTGCCACTGTGGTGAGGTTCTTAACTGTTGCTTCTGGAAGTTTCTTGAGAACCTCATTTGATATTCCATCATGTCCAGGATCCTTTTTTCTCTTTGCCCCCTTGATGATGTCCTGGATGATCTCTCTGGTGATTTTTCTGACTGGAGTGGGCTGCCAGTTTTGGAAGTAGGCGGCAACTATGTTTTCCACTTCCACTTCTTGCTCTGGGTGATCAACCAGGTTAACTCTGCAATGGAGCTCTAGATGGTTGGCAAAGAGCTCCAGTTTCTCTTTGTGGTCCACAGTTGAGATTCCGTTTTCTTGGATCGGTGGTATTAGTTGCCTTGGTCCTTTGATGAGGTTCCTGGCCTTATCAACTCATCCTGGCCTCGACAAAGCTCTTTGTTGGACTCGTCAGCCTCTATTTCGTCCATGCGAGCATTGATGCTTCCTTGATGTCTTCCTGGAGGCGGTTGACTTGCCTTTTTAGGTATGGATCTTGTATTCGTATGGCTCTGTGTCGTATCCGGTTTTTCTCCCTTAATTTGGTTTTTTTATCCAGGGAGGTATTTGGTCTGTTCGGTTGACCGGTACGACGGATTGGCTTGTTGAGGCTGCCAGGGCGATATTGAGGTCCCCTGTGAGCCTTTCGACTGCCTGGTCCAGGTCGTCCTCTGTTGTGGGCTCAGGGATCCTGCTGGAGCTTTCCAATGTGTGCTGGAAAGTCTGCCAGTTCGTAATCCTTTTAGTGACAGTGATACCGTTGCTTTGATTTGGTCCAATTTGTAGGAGTATCGGCAAGTGGTCCGACGACAGTTTCTG